ACGCTCCTGTGAAATTTTATCCTAAATTTTAATCATATTAAGATAGTATAATAGAAAACTCAGCAATAGAAATAAAATTAGTAAAAGATTAGTAAAATGAATATGAACATGAGTAGATTCTTGTCGAATTTTTCCTCTGCTCTCACTTTCAACAGAAGAAACTTAGTGTCATTAATGTTGTTTGTGTCGAGTGTATGAAGATTTAGATTAACAATATATTTATTAATAACAAAGTTATGACAACATTAATTTTGGAATCATGCACTATTTGAGTAAGTATATCTTTTACATAGATTTTAGACAAAATCTTAAAGCTGGCAACACTGTCAAGTTTTCTGGTCAAAATGCGATAACTTTTTTATTCTATAGTTATGACATAAAAAAACGACATGACTTAAAAATTAATATCAATGCACGAAAATGTGTGCCTGGATATATTTTTTGCTGTTCCGCATAATAAAACAAGAACTTGAAAAATAAGCGGGTCACTCTGTAGCAAACGAATAAACAGGAAAATGAATGGAGCTGTTTTTCAAGTGTTTACACTCAATTTATTTTATGAAGGAAAATTTGAAAATAAAACTAACCTTCATCATTTTTGTTTACAACTAAAATGAGCTGGCAATTTTGTCATTTAAGTTAGAACGTTCATGCCAATTTACACAAATTTATAAATCTAATTCAATTCAAATTTTAAACTATTAATGAAATAAATGATTAAGTACACTGAACTCTATTGTTATTGAAACAGTATTTTATCTAAGATTACATTCACTTGCACAATATTTAATGTTTTTATCTAAATGTGTACAAATTTGAATATTTAAGTTAATTATAATTCTTCAAGTGTAATAAAAACAGTTCTTTTTGTATAATGGCGGTGCGTCAGAGAGGATATTCGAATAATAAATTAATTAAATCTTAATTAAAAAATTATTTTTAGCTGTTAGGACGCTTGAGAACATACATTTTATAGTCCCGACTTTTCTTTGGTATTTTTCTTCATTTTAAGAAAATAACGTCCTAATAAGTTATGAAGATTCCAAAATGAAATATCTACTGTATTACAGATCTATGAGAGCGGTAGAGAGCGCATCCAGCTATGAGGTTTTTTTTGTTTATTATTTATTTGTCTTCAAGTTTCAATTTACATTTACTGATATGATTTTTCTCAAACCCTGTTACATTTATTCTCCTTTTCATGATGCAATTTCAGATTGTGTCTGCAAAATAATATCGCCAATTTTGCTATTTTCAATTTAACACAGACTAGGAATAAATTATACGAGCCATACGGTGTAGGTACACCCATCTTTATTAGTTGCAGGCACTGGTATTTTAAGTTACCACATTACTGGCCCTTTTTCATAGATGGTAAACTTAACGGTCAAAAATATAAAGATTTAATTCAAAAACTAGTTATTATTTTTCACTTGAACATAATTCTTAATTCTACAATCAGAGGAATTACGTTAATATTGTCCTTATTTAATTAGAAACATTAATACCCCACAACAGTTCATGCAGGTGATGTGGTAGGCATTGTACACAAAGTATACAGATGAATGTTCGTCCGCAGTGCCTATATCCTACAGCTCGTATTATTTTTTCCTAATCTATATGTGGAACAAGTCCATATAATGTTACAATAGGCTTAGATGTGATATTAGGATGGGTGGGTTTATCTTATAGATAGATGCACAGTAGATCCTAGAGGTTTGCGGGGAAAGGAAGATCTTGCGAGTCTGAGAGTAGTAATATATTAGGCTTGGTAAGTTCTTTCTTTGGTATGCAGAACAGTGGAAGTCGCTGAGGACGCCATGATATTTTAGGATTGTGGGTTTGAACCTTTCAGGGTACGAGAAACATATTGTTTCCTAAGGATTTGGAAACGAAATAGAATGGGAGTATTGGAGATGTTGTTGCAAAACTTCTCTTCTTGGAGACCGAGAATGCTAGATATTGACATCGTCGAAGGAGACGTCTCTCAAGTGTAGTGAGTTTGTGGGCTAGGTGGTAGGAAGTAAGCCATATAATATTCCTCTGTACTCGGCAAAAGGGAGGACAAAGCAACTTTTATGTATGAATCAATGTTTCAGGATTGCATCGTTCAATTCCTCCACACAAAATTCCATCTGTTTGGCGAATCTAACTCCAAAGAGGTTTTAATTTACGTTATGGGGATCCCTAGGCGGTTATTTGAACATTTGGAAGTTTAAAAATGTGAGTCAAACCCTCTATCAACTTCTAGTTCAGCATATTTTGAATTCGGATATTTATTTGGTCAGAATTTTGGGTTATTAAGAACAAAGCAGTATCATCATCATACAGTAGATAAGTAAAGTGAAGGGTACTGACAGGGAGATGCCTACTTTGACTGTAATGGTTTTGTCAGTAAGGTATGACTGGTTGAGCCTTAGGGTTGAGCTTGGAAATATTGAAGGGAGACCTACGACTAGTTAGGTATGCCAGACTTGGTAAAACGCTTTTCAAAAATCGAGAAGAACGGCTAAAAGATATGAAGGGAATTAATAGCTGTGACAATAGTTATGTCCTTACTGAAGCAATGAGGTCTAAAACCCGTTTGGAATTGAAGAATGATGTTTCTCTCTTCAGTCCCAAATTATCTCCTCAGGGATCTTATCGAGGACTGATATAAGTGAGATAGGACTGTGTGAGTATGGATTAAGCCGGTGTGAGTATGGGTTAAGGATCCTTGCCTGATTTGGGAATGAGAATTGTTCAAATTCTTTCAACTGCTCCCAAATAATAAATTATTGAATTGTAAATGATTCCGTACTAATATGACAGTATGAATATGTACTAGGACATTATGAGTATGGGTTAAAGATCCTTGCCGATTTGGGAATGAGATTAGTTCAAATTCTTTCAACCACTCTCGAATACTAAATTGTAAATGATTCTGTTGTAAATTGTTGTAACGGCCGGGAGCAATGACAAAGGTTCTGAATGTGAATCAGTTGTAACAGCGTCAGGCATGTTAGCTTTGTTTTTTAAAATCCAATCGCACAATTTAACAGTTGAAAAAGTAATTACTTTTGCTAGTTTAATAGATAAAAGTCTTCTTATTTTTATTCTCTGTAAATGACATGTGCACACCAAATGAGATGGTTGATAGTTAAAAAACAAAGTGATAAAAACAACTTTTCCTTCTTCAACGGAGACGCCTCAAAGAGTAGTTGGGTAAAATATTCGAAATGTAAAATAAAATATAGTTTTCAGTTGTGAGGAGCCGCGTTTTTTAGTTTTAATTTCTGTAAAGTTTCTGTCAATAGTACAATGTGAAGGTTCTCTTAACGCCATAAAATTAAGATGGTCCTTTGATATTAATAGTTTCTCAAGTTTAATCGGGAATGTTATATTCATGTATATATCTATTGTAAAGCGAACCAGTTAATAATAATAAACGACTATGGAAGTTACAGGGTGATGTGGTCGAGAATTTGTAGTTTTTGATTTCAAGAATCGCTTCAAAAATGGTGATTTCCAGGCAAGTGGAAAGTAGGAAAAGGAGAGGCAAGCGTTCAGGAATAGGGTAAGGATAGGAAATATGGTTTCCGATAGATGTATCAGTATTCTTCTGTGTATATTGAATGTATTGAAGGGCGAAGGGGAATATAAAAGGGTTTTTGATATCCTGGAGCTTGTCTGATAGACAAGCTCGGTCTCTAGTCTGAAATTGTGGTCAAATTATAGGTTATTTGGGGTTCTGAAAATGGCTTAAAGGTCTGTTTGATGTACTAGGGCTTTCTCATCGGAGGTAGCGTGTATTTCACAGTATATTTCTAGATGAAAGCGAGTTTTGGATTTTTACATGTGATGATAAGTCTGAATTTGTCCCTAAACTAGGAACCATCTCTATAGTCCATATTTGAAAAGTGATATTAATACATTATTGATTATGTAAGTTAATTTTGAGCCCGATCAAAGATAAAATTGACTCGAAGGCGACAACTTCAAAGAGCTCTAGCTCCTTTATGAATCATTTTGGATTAAGACAGGCCAGTTCTAGGATCGATTGCTAATATACCAAAGAACATTTTTGAATTTCAACAACCTTCATTTTTAATTAAAAACAATAGAAGAATACTAGGTATTCGAGATTTTTCGGTGACGTTATAAATCAACTATTTGGCGATAGGGCTTTTCACAGATTTCAATGTTTATAGTAAAGAGTGATCTACAAATAAATGTTTCATGACTGACAAAGACAGAAATACGAGCCATGTCCGTGATAACTAAGCACGGCTCTGAATTAAATCCAAAGTGTCATTAAAAAAAGAATACGTTTCGACATTTGTGATTTTTCCATAGCAAATTTTTTTTGTGGATCACTTCATATGGCTGAAATAGGGGTATCAAGAATTAAACATCGATAGTGCGCTCTCTTTTAGTTACCCGATATGTTTTCTTTTATTCTTTAGGTTTCGCCCTATACTGTATATATTTTATTCATTCATACATGTTATTTATAGGTCAGAGATAACAGGAGATGTAACTACTAACAAATATCGTGCGGTTCTCAATAAGACATATTCTAAGAGAAACAGAAGGGTATAATATCCGCTGTTGTCATATGCCTCTCATTATTCTTACGTTAGGTTGGAAGTGGCAACAAGGCTTACACCGGCATGGATATTTACGTTGTCTATTATAAGCGCACAGCGGCTTACACATTTATTCATTGATAAAAAAAGTTGTATCTGCGTAAAATTCTTCTCTTTATCCCCTCTCTTACTTCTCACCTTTCGTCTCCTCGCCCCGTCCGTACAAAAACAGTATATTGATTGTCGAGTAATCTTGGCATCGTGAATATTATATTTTATCAATGACTGGCTATATCTCTGTTATAGGTGATATGTTATGTGGTATTTTTTTATTTATTTCTGCTTTGCCATAACAGTGGGTATAAAAAATATATTTGCCGATTCGAAAAAAATATTACTACAGATATTTTAACAATTTTTTTAAGTACTTACTGTAACCAAGTATCTTGCCAAGTGGTCGCCGGGAAAAATACGAAAACATCTTCCAATGACAAAGTAAACTTCACTTCCTGTCCGTTTCCTGCTAAATATTCAGACACGTAGAGATTCGTAGAAGTATTGCTGTGACTGGCCGCCACCAGAGCCGTTCCATCAGTGACGTCGACGATTAAATAACTTTGGATTTTTTCGTTCGTGTTAAAAACGCACAAAAATTGTTTACCCAATTTATAAGATACGTACAGATTTATGTCGCCCTGAAATAGTTTTTTTTTTTGTTTTTTTTGTCAACTTTCTTTGAATTAAAATTCTTTAATATCAGGTAAAGAGGGACTTAATCAAACAAATTTTTTTTTTCCAGAAAATGTAAACTTGAGACGTTAGTACCGGGCACTATAAATTATAACTTATCGTCTTTACTACACTTTAATAAAAGGTATTAGACTTAAAACTTAAGTTTATTTAAATTTTGCAAAATTGTGACTTAAACCCTTTGTACTTGACTTCAAAGTTAGTAGATCTCATGACATTGTACCTAGTTAAATTCCCTTTCAAAAAAACGTGGTAGTTAAAATTGGTAAGGGTTATGAGTAAAAATCCGCTAGGTTCCCTAGTGTATAAATTAGAAAAAGAAGAGGATCAAGTATGGAACCCTGTGGTATACCTTTATTTACTAATATTAAGCTTGGTTGATTGAGCTTTCAACCGACACATATTGATATCTGTAGAAAAGTAACTTTTAACGTTTTTACAGTTCTTAAAATCCATAATGAAGCTTAGATAACAGAAGTTCTCTACCCAGGGCATCAAACGCTTTACTGCAGTCTATATGGTCCTAAAAGTACATAAAATTGTTTTGAGTGACCTTCAAGTGAAGTTTGTGGAGATAGCTGAGCTGAGGTCGTGGGTATTTCAAATTTTGGACTTAAGAAAGCTCTCCGCAAGATGGGTGCAACGATTGCTCACATCGGAGCAAAAATATTCGTATGAACGTTTCAGAATAGTGTTTGTTGCTACTTAAGAGCAATCCAAAGGCCTTTCAGCGCAGATTTATGACTATGGACGAGACTTGGGTTCACTATTGCACGCCGGAGACCAAACAGCAGTCAAGAAAATGACGAATCAGACCCAAAATGCATTATTTTTATCGATTGACTTAGCAAGGATAAAACAATAAATAATAATAATAATAAATAATATTATGCCAACTTGCTTGATCAGCTGCAAAAGAAAATATTAGGGAAAAGGCATAGATTATCTAAAAAAGTTTTATTATATATATAAAAAAAAAGGATTTTGACTTTCGTAGGCTGAAAATTACTCATCTCATCCTCGTATATTCAAGATAAAATACAATTCCAGTCAAAAAGTTTAATCCTGGTGATAATGAGATCAAGACAATGGAGGAAACTGATTGCAATCAACGTGAAAAAGGGTTTCATTAGCACTCTGCGGTTCTCTGTCGGGGCTGTCCCGACATTGAAATTATTACGTTGCGGTTACATGTCCTGACACTAAATTGTTTAGTAAGTACGTAACTACCTCATATAAATAAATACATCTTTAAATAATGCTATCATGATTTTACATTTCTTGAAACTGTAAACATTTTTGTATGTCATTACATGTAAAATAAGAAACTATAAAAGGGGTGCCCCAGGGTAGTATTCTGGGTCCGCTACTGTTTTTAATTTATATGAATGACATTGCTGGTGTAGTCGAAAGATGCTCAATACACTTATTTCCGGATAATATACACTGATGATATTTTACCCATGAAAACACTGAAACTTGTTTTAAAGAAATTAATAGTTCTACAAGGAAAATATATGATTATTGTAATTGTTGTGTTTCTGTTGATGGAGTAAAGTTTCAGAGTCGAAAAATTTAAATATCTAGGGGTTATGGTTGATACAAATTTACAATTTAAGGAACATGTTAATAACGTCATCAAAAGTATATCATTTAAAATACACTATTTGAGGCGCTGTTCTCCACAATAATTTATAATACTCTAATATTACCTCATTTTAATTATTGAGCCGCTATATTATATTTGTTCAACCAAGAATGAGTTGCAACGATTGCATATCCAGCAATCAGATATGGTTGGGTTTACATTAAAATCCTAGAGCAAATTAGATTTGCAGCATTAAAAAGATCAAATGATTATGAGGCTATAATGATTATACCTGAGTGTGTTAAATTAGATATTAAATGGTGGATTCTTTTGCTTTTGAAATATTTTCTGATGCATCATTATTAGGTTGGAGGGTAGTACATAAGAACCAAAGGGTTTTGGGCAGATGTACTGATCATGAAAAATCACACCATATAAATTTTTTAGAGTTGAGGGCTGCCTATTTTGCTTTAAGATGTTTTGTAAATATAGAGAAATATTGTAATGTCCTTCTCAGAATTGATAACACCACGGCTATATCATATATAAATAAAAAGGGGGGGCATACGCTAAAGCTCAACACTTTAGCAAGAACAATATGGCAATGGTGTGAAGCTCGTGGTATTTACATATTTGCTTCTTTTAAAAGTTCAACAGATAATTTCGAAGCAGACTTTGAATCTAGGAGGTCTCCAGAGACTGAGTGGGAACTAAATAATGAGGCGTTTCAAATAATAGTTAGAAAGTTTGGACAACCTTCAATCGATTTTTTTACACGCCGCACAAATGATAAATGTACGAGGTATGTCTCATGGAAGAAAGACCCTTCCTTAGCCATTGATGCATTCACCTGAAATTGGTCAAATTATAATAACTTTTAGAGTTTTCCGCCTTTTTCTTTGGTCCTACCAGTAATATAAAAAATTATAAACGATAATGCCTCAGGGTTAGTAGTAGTGCCCTTTTGGACTACCCAACCTTGGTGGCCCTTGTTTATGAGTATTTTAAGTTCAGAACTGCTTAAATTCGACCATGATCCCTTACTTTTACTATCTGTTGACAGGTCTCCACACCCCTTGGCAAGAAAACTTTCCCTGGTGGCAGGATTTTTATCCAACGGGCGTTCACCCTAAAGAGCCTGGAATCCAGTATTATTGAGATTATGCTGTCGTCCATTTCAACTTCTACCTTAAGACAGTATACGGTGGGGTTGAAACTGTGGTGGAAGTTTTGTATGTATGAGGGAACAGACCCTTTCACGGGTGATATTTTTAAGGTTTTAAAATTTTTACATGAACGGTTCCAGGAGGGAACAAAATACGGATCATTAAATAACTACAGATCAGCACTTTATTTAATTTTGACACCCGACATTGCTGTGGACTTTAGGGTCAAAATATTTTTTAAGGGCGTTAGTAACCTAAGACCGTCTCTGCTAAAGTACGACTCAACTTGGAACCCATTGGTCCTGAATACCTTCAGAGATTGGTGTCCCAATCATGAACTTCCTCTTATGGAATTATCAGAAAAATTAGTAACTGCACGTAGAATGCAAACCTTTAGTCTTATTAGATTGGAGAATATTTGTAGAAATCCAGATGGATTCTCAATAAAGATTCCTGATAAGATTAAGTCATCAGGTAGAAACAGACTCGCATCATGTTTAACTCTTCCCTTCTTTGATCAGGATCCTAATATTTGTCCTGGGAGAACATTAGACTCATACATAGAGCGAACTAAGATTGTTAGAGGAGAATCTGTAAAAAACCTTTTTATATCCTATAGAAAACCTTTTAATTCAGTCTCCGCTCAAACCTTAAGTCGTTGGGTAAAAAAGTGCGGGGTTGATACGAACATCTTTCATGCTGACAGTACGAGTCATGCTGCGATGTCAGCAGCGTTAAATAAAGGACTGAACTTAGATATTATAAGGTCCACAGCAGGTTGGTAAAGTGAATCTTCGTGTTTCGTTAAGTTTTATAATCGGCCTATAAGGCAGGATCCCAGTTCTTTTGCTGAGACCATTCTTATTTAGTTTTTTGTAGTTAAACTTTCGTTTGTCTTTGTTACAGTTGTAAACTTTTCAATAAAGATTTATTGAAAACTGTGTTGTTTATTGTGGTCGCAACTGTCTTTTAACATCTACGTTTACTTATCATCTGAAAAAGGGAGCGCAGTGTATAATTATAAGATCAAACGAACTTACCTTAAGTGAAGTTCGATCTTGATTATACACTGCGCTCCCTTCGAAGATGATCTCTCCCAACCCAGCCCTGTGAATCCCAGATCATCACAGTTGCGACAAGGCTTTGAAGAAGTGACAGCCAAGCCGGCAGAGCGCGGGAATTACATAGAGTTAGGTTATCAGTTTTTGGTTTTGGACTATGGTGCACAACTAGCTCATAAATGAGTACTACGTTTACTTATCATTTTCGAAGGGAGCGCAGTGAATAATCAAGATCGAACTTCACTTAAGGTAAGTTCGTTTGATCTTATAAAAATACACTAGCGAACCTAGAGGATTTTTACTTGAACCCAGATCAATTTTGGCCATTTTTTTTGTAGAAATAAAACATCTTATAGTTACACCGTGTCAAGTAGTAAGAATTTACTAAAATTTTCAATGTAAATGCGTGGTAATCTGATAGGGTTGCCAGGCGTCCCGCTTTTCGCGGGATGTCCCGTTTTTAGCACCCTCAGTCCCGCGTCCAGCCGATAGTCTACGCGGGACGCATATTGTCCCGCTTTTTAATGAACATGAATAAAATACACCGCGAAACGTGATTTGAAGAAATAAAAAAAAATAATACCCATCTATCTAATTATTTCATAATGGTCGAATAGTCCGACGTAACAAGTAATACTTGTATTAGTCTTAAATTAGTTTTGAATATTGACTATTTATGTTTTGCTGTACTTGTATTTGTTTTTTGCGTTCCTTTGTTCCTAAGATTGTGATGTTTTTTTTTATATGCAAAGTACTTATAGGAAATAAAAACATGTTTGTTTTTTTATTAAGTGTACCGTTTTTTCTTGTTTTGTCTCGCTTTTCTAATGCCTAAATCCCGCCAAATGCAAATTCAGACCTGGCAACCTTATAATTTGATTACACGCAAGAAACTACCCTGATGTTGAAATTAAATATAAACATTTAAAACATATAAAAGGTAAACAGATTTACTAAAATACGTTTAATACCATTGCGACCATTGCTGATCAATTAAAATTTAAAAAACTAGGTACGCGTTCTTATATTCAACCCTAGGACGTCATGAGATTCACCATATATTTCAATTTGAATCTTGTTAATAAAAAAAACTCACCTTAGCATCGACTTTCGTGGTAAACAGATAATCTCCTTTTATAAAAAAGTCCTTCACATTCGTCGAGTAAATAAAAGAGACCCTATTTATGAATAAAGTTTTCGAATGAATAATAGAACTGGCATTGTTCGGTTCTGATCTTTGAATTATAAGATGATGAGTATCGGAGTCGTCTTTTAACCAATGATAAGACTTTACGTATTCGTATATGGCTCTGAAAGTTTTTCCAAAATCTTCAGTCACCCAAAGCTGAAATTAACATTTTGAGTCAGCATTTTTTTGGAAAGGAAACATCTGTCAAATTTTATACCGCGAGAAGAGAAGTTTTTGAAACGAACAGAGCGAGTTAAATACTACACTATTTTCACTCTAAATCCTGTTAAAATTGCACAAAACACTTTTATCATCTATTATTTATTGGACGTTTTCAAAAGTTATAATTTAAAATTTATAAGTGACAGCACTTTTGACACACGTCTCTTCTCATAAAATTACATTTTTAACACTAAAACCAAACGTTAAAAAACTTATTTAAATGGATTTGTAGAAAAAAATGTTTTAACAATTTTTTCGTTCAAAAAATCTATGTTGCTTAAAAACACTTCAACCAGGATTATATGTTAAAAAATACATAATTTAACATTAGTACTGACCTTATTTTTTGTGTTATTCTTATCCAACACCAAAAATTTCGATGGATACAATTCGTGGAAGGATATTTCAGATGGTGTAAAGTGTAAGTCAATTCTTTCAAACGTTTTTCCATGATCCTTCGTTACGAATATGGCATTATGTTTGATATCAGTAAAGATGAACTGAAAAGAAATAACAAAATTAATAATAATGATCGTCATGTAATAAGATTATTCATAGCACACATTTTAATGATTAATTTGTTCAAAGTACAATAAAATTATTAAATCAGACGCAAATTGTCTCCAAATGTAAACGTTTAGGACCATTTGCTTATTTTTATCACATAAATGTTGTGTAGTATGACTACTAGATGGCGCCAAGACTCGCTTACTAATAATGTCTTCATTAGGTAGGTATTTTACATTTTCTAAATATTAAAAATTATTGGAATAATATGTAATGTTGTGCCTGTAAAGTCAACCACAATCTTAAAGTTTGAAATTGAGTTATTACATAAAAGATTGTGAAAAAATTCGTTTTTTGGTAAATTCGAATGCAAATAAATGAATGAATTCGTTTATTTAGCCGTTTTTGTTATTTAAATAGATTTTTATTGAACAAATTCAAATTTCTAGTTGTTTATTTCTTCTGGCAGTTTATTAAAAAGGCCTATCCCATTAATTAGCAACAATCTAAAAGTTTTGTTCTCACGCTATTCAGATAAACAAAATTTTTCTGATAAGAAACTATTAATAATATTATTTACATTAGCGATTTTTAAATTAATAAATAGAGAAACCCTACAAAATACAACAAGATTAAGTTTCCTTTATAGATACGCCGGTATTTTATCGTTATCTATTACTTCAACCCAATAGGCTAATTTTGCGTCGTTCTATTTACATAAAATGTATACCAAATAAAGTTGACGTTGTGAAAATAAAATCGGCATATCTGACTATGTAAATATTAAATAAATGTTTTAAGGACAGAGGGGTCTATTCTGTAGCAATTCCCTTATATTTAACGGCCTTTAAAAATATTTTCTCCTTTACTTCTGTCATTATTTAAACGGATCTTTAAAATACATTAGAGGACTATCTTAAAGAAATCTGTTTAAATAATGATAGAAGTAAATTAACGAATACGAAACTATTTTTAAAGGCCGCCAATATTTTTAAAGGCCGTTAAATATAAAGGAATTGTTACAGAATAGACCCCAGAGTCTCCAAAGGATTTGCGGTCGAATTCTGTACTGCGGGACTGCCTATCCAGTAGTACCTGTAGTCAAATATTTGGTAAAATAATCTAATCGCCAAAATGAATTATCGATCTTTTGAATTTGTTATTTGCTACTCACGGAGTTCTTAGCGTAGAATCATTTCTATCTGGATACGGAAACAAGGGAAGCTCAATATTTTAGTACCAAAAAAATAATATAGTTATATTACTTACTGGCCTTTTGAAAATCTCACTTGTGCAGGCCTCCTTTAAAATGTCGGTTATCCGGAATTTCAATAATTTTTTATAAGAAGCGGCAAAAAGGTAAAAACATATCGACTATTGTCTGGAAGGTTTTAAATTAGTCAATCAGATTTTAGGCTTCATTATGACTATGTTTAAAAAACATTGTGGCGCGCGTTTCAAATTTGCTCGAATTTTTGGAATTTTTAAAAAAATATTGTAGGAGAATTTGATAAGAAAAAAATATTAAAAAAATAATTTTGTGCTAGCTTTTAGAAAAACATATTTTTGAATTTCACATATGTTTGTAATTTGCTATTTAATACGTTTAATATTAACGTAATTTCTAAGTATAGGAAGACCTGATTATGAGATTATTTGTAACTTTTATCTTTAAACAGAAATTATACGTTATAATACAAAGACCACGAATGCGTATTTATAAAGAAGTGATTCATTTCACAAATTTTGTTGAAACAGCATTACTCACTCATAGCAACATGTAATCTTCAATTATCAATTTAAAAAATTATCTGGCGAATAACGCAGAGAACATCTTGGTGTGCTTCCCCGAGCTGCTGATAAACAAAACCTAATACTTATCTTTAAAAACAAGTTAGTCAAAGGCGCCATATATCGAGATTATTTTTATTCAAAATATTCCACAAAAAGTCGATTTATGGTAAACATATTTTTTTGATGGATTCTCAACTGTGCTCGATATTTACAATTTCTATAAGACTCAAGGCCTCCTACAATAATTACGACGTCACTGACAAATTCGGCAATTTTCGGAAAATTAGTCGCTAAGTTCACATCGGTCGGGGTAATCCATTTGAAATAACAAACTTCATTATATATTTCCAGAATACCGAAAGATCTGACAACAATGTAAATACAACCATAATATCGGACGTATTACAAAACTTTTAAGTACAAAAGTATATAAAAATCGTGCAAGCCGTTTCCGAGATAATTAGACCGTTCCATACTTAAAACTGTAAAAATGTAAATGTTTCACTAAGGGAGATTTTATTGGTGATAAAAAACTAGGCATCAATTTTTGTAGAGAATCTAAGTATGAAAAATTATTTTTCACTTTGTTGCTAATTTAAAACAGCCACCAACCGGTCATTATGACAACGAAAAACCATTTTAAATATAATTTATTTACGTGTTTCTATTTGCTTTTCTACTGTTTAAGTTAAGTAGCTATTTGCGCTTTGTCTTATCTCAGTTATTGTTGCTATCGTCTCGGTTAATTGCAAATTAAGTTTCAAAAGCATAAATACAAAGTAATATTAATATTTATACATTTGTACTGACGTGCCATCGTGAATATTCTTAAAATATGTTTACCTGCACATTGGTATACAGTGAAGTTTGCTTGTATTAATTTTTATATGACTCAGGATTTTCACTTCAAATGTAAATAATATTATTATTCATTAGGCAATTGTTTTGTAATAAAAAGTTGTTTATTGTATATTGTATATACCTATTCAAACTGAAATAAACTTTTATAGACGCTGAAACAGGGTAAAGGGAGACATACACAGTACGCGATCTTCTCGTTCTTACAAGGCCGTGGTTGGTATGGAACACATGAAGCCATTCACATTTCAAAATAATTATGGTAAGCCGTCAGTGCCATCTCAAAGCCGTGGCATTTTAAAGCCGTCAGTGGCATTTTAAAGTCGTCAGTGGCATTTCAAAGCCGTCAGTGGCATTTCAAAGCCGTCAGTGGCATTTCAAAGCCGTTAGTGGCATATTAAAGCTGTCAGGGGCATCTTAAAGCCGTCAGTGGCATTTTAAAGTCGTCAGTGGCATTTTAAAGTCGTCAGTGGCATTTCAAAGCCGTCAGTGGCATTTCAAAGCCGTCAGTGGCATTTCAAAGCCGTTAGTGGCATATTAAAGCTGTCAGGGGCATCTTAAAGCCGTCAGTGGCATTTTAAAACCGTCAGGGGCATCTTAAAGCCGTCAGAAGCTTCTTAAAGCCGTCAGAGGCATCTTAAAGCCATCAGGGGCATCTTATAGCCGTCAGGGGCATCTTAAAGCTGTCAGGGGCATCTTAAAGCTGTCAGGGGCATCTTAAAGCTGTCAAGGGCATAACAATATGTAATATATTTCACTAATAATAATTAGTAATTATAACGTGTAGAGTGATATTTTCACATCCCGATCACAATACATCTAATCCTATGCATTCCCTATAGCTCTAAAGCTACCATTTCGCAATCCGGGAACGAGGCCGACTTCAAAACGCGACGCGACAGCGAGAGAGACCAAAAGCGGTCTCTTCACGTCTGAACACATGTACACATTTCAGCAGATTTAGTATGGCGATATTTGCAGCCTTACTGCTGTCTCGGTCTCCTGTCGTTTGTCGCGCGTTCCCAAATGGTACCTTTAGAATTGAAGATTGTTGTACCCTCCACAATAGGTTTAGCATTATTTCTTTAGTAGATTAAAAATTATTTAAAAAAAACATATTTCCATGGGCGTCCGTTATGGACCGGTATCTCCGAAGAAGGGACAGAGGAAATATATTTATAGTTATTTTTTATGTGTATACAGAAATGAAACAAGTTCTGAATAATAATGAATAAATTGTGACAATTATAAACAGCATCAATCGTTTGAGTCACAAAACATTTCCCTGTGGTGAATCGTTTATTATTTTTTTACTAAAACCGGCCGTCTACTTAAAAATGATATATTTGCGGTACAGATTGTAAGACCCAACCGTGATACAATGTCATTATTAGATAAGTTAATTACTTTTGTATCAGCGTAGATAGGAGTTTCCTGTTATGTTATTAATTTGTTAATAAAGCGTTCCAGCAACCGAGTATGGATGATAGAGATTCTTAATATTGATCATAAAATGACCAAAGGAAAATAAAATAAGATGAATCCAACACAAGTTATCAAATATATTGAGTACGGCCCATATAATCAACAAGTACTTAGAATAGGAATTAAAGATAACATTTTTCACACACATTTTTATTCGAAACATTTTTTCATGCTTTCATTTCCTACGAAAATAATAAAAAAATTGAAATTTTTCATTTTATGAGACAAAAATTATAAAGAATGACATCACAAAGCATAATGAAACAAATTTCTTACTTTTTCTTATAAAAGTAAAAAAATTGTTAGTTAAAGATACTTGAATTTTTGAAATATTGTAACCTACCGCACCCAGGTACCTTAATAATTTAATAATTTCATTTATTAAATATATAGTGTATTCTTATTAAATTCAAAATCCTTCATTTAACGAACAATTTCCCATATAATTAAATCTTATTTACGACACCTAATAAATAATATCTATAATCACGTCCGTAAAATATCCAAATTTCGTGCACGTGTCTGGGAAACTAAACCAGAAAACATATGTCTTTTCACGGAGTAATTATCACTGATCTATATTATTTTACTGGATAGGATATAGGCTATATTTAACATACTAAAAATCCGTTCCACCAAGGAGACCGGAAGTGCAACACTGCTGGCCGATTTGGGCAAATTATGGTGGGATCACATAACTGAATTTTGGGATAATTTGACATACCTAACTTATAATTTGATTAGTTTTTCTTATTCTTCTTCTATTCCTTTTGCGGGCAATGTCCTTCGGGACAATTCACCCATAACTTGATTTTTTTATGAAAGAAAATATAAAAATAGAAACGTTAAGCATATT